GATTTTGAGAACTAGACCAGACCGTTACACTTATAAAACTGAACCAGAACCAAACCGAAAAAACGGTTCAGTTTCGGTTTGGTTAACGGTTCCAAAAATTTCTATTTACAAGAATAAATTGTTAATATTAGCAAAATAATTACTCAAACAAATTGCATTTAACTCATGATAAAAACTAATAATATTAAGGCATTACTTAATATTACATATCTATACCATCTTAATATCATTAAAATTATAAATAAATAAAAAAACCAATTAATAAAAATAAAACTTGATATTATATATATATTTTTTAAAATTCGATTCGGTTCGGCTCAGTTCGAACCGCGGTTTTTCATAAAATCCATTAACCGAACCGTTTTTACGGTTATCATATTTCTTAATCCGAAACCGAACCAAACCGTATGATTCGGTCTGATTCGGTCCGGATTATCGGTTTGAACGGATTTTTGAACAGGCCTATTAGATTGAGTAGGGGTGGCACCTTCCCATTAAAGATGGGTGGGGGATGGCAACCACCCCACTAACCAAGTTGTGTGATTAAACTTCTCTCCCTCAATTGTGTATAAATTGAGGTGAGAAGGAGGGATTGAAGGCAAGGAGAATAGAGAGCAAACCAAAGAAGAAGAGATGTCAGGCAGAAAGACCGTCTCTCTTGATGTGAGAGAGAGACAGGTGAGTGGGTGAGTGAGGATAGTGTGAGCTCCTCCTCTATTGTAATTTTTCTGTAATCTCTCCATTGTTATAGTGATAACCGGTTACTCTCCCGTGGACGTAGGCATTAAGGCCGAACCACGTTAAATATGGTGTTTCCTTGTGTATGTGTGTTTTTTTCTGCATGGTATAATTTCTGAGAGGTCTTGGGCGGGATCCCCGATCCCCAACAAGTGACATCAGAGTCTCGTCGGTCGTTTTTCGAAAAAAACAGAGGGTGTTTTTCGAATCTGCCCAGAAATCAAGTTGCTCAAAATTAGGTTTTGAGCACACTAGGAGGAAGGTCTCGACGAGAGGAGTCCAGAACTGCAAAGCAGAGCTCCAGAGGATGCCAGACGCGCTCTCACGTGCCGTCTGAAGAGGGCGTATAAGGCCCAGTCTCACCACGCACCGCCACACGCCGTTATCTGCACTGGCGTGTCAGCCCAGTCTCGGACATGCGCCCCACGTAGAGCTTATAAGCTGTTTATTTCAGCTTTTAACTTAATTTAAATTAAAATATTGTATTTGTTACAATTTAAGTTAACCAGCTTATAAGTTAAATCAAGTTATTTTTCAACTTATCTCAAAAACTGGTCAAGGGGAACTTAAATTTTTTACTTAAGCGTGCAGTTGGTGTGGGGACTAAAATTACTTAAATGCCCTCATCAAAACTCAAATATTAATATTAATTAATATTAATATTAATTAAAAATAAAAAATTGTATATTTCTAAAGAAAAAGAAAAAATTCAATATTAATTGAAAAATTAATTGGTATTAATTATTTATAAATTCATATTGTATATTTTTCTATTAATTAAAAAATAAAAAATTGTATATTTCCGAAGAAAAAGAAAAAAATCAATATTAATTAAAAAAATCAAAATTAATTGGTATTAATTATTAATAAATTAATATTGTATACTTTTGTAATGAATTAATTATTAATTGATACTAATTAATAACAATTGTTGATTATTAATATTAATTGATACTAATAAAAATTAAATATGAATATTAATTGATACTAATTAATAATTTTAGTATTAATTGATACTAATTAAGCAATTAATTAGTACTAATTAATTTATAATGGAAAATAATTGCGACAATAATACTTCCATTCATTTTTAGCAAATGTATCAATTTTTATGTTAATTGATACTAATTAATACTAATTATATTAACTTTTATTAATGAAAATTAAAACTAAAAAAAAAAAGACAAAATATAAAATAATAGGCCTTGGTAGAGCTTATAAACTGCTTATTTCAGCTTTTAACTTAATTTAAATTAAAATATTATATTTGTTACAGTTTAAGTTAACCAACTTATAACTTAAATCAAGTTATTTTTCAACTTATCTCAAAAACTGGTCAAGGGGAACTTAAATTTTTTACTTAAGCGTGCAGTTGGTGTGGGGACTAAAATTACTTAAATGCCCTCATCAAAACTCAAATATTAATATTAATTAATATTAATATTAATTAAAAATAAAAAATTGTATATTTCTAAAGAAAAAGAAAAAATTCAATATTAATTGAAAAATTAATTGGTATTAATTATTTATAAATTCATATTGTATATTTTTCTATTAATTAAAAAATAAAAAATTGTATATTTCCGTGTGGTGTGGGCCAACTTTTGGGAAAAATTTTCAGTGAGGTCCCCAGAAGTGCAGCGAAGGTTGGTCCTAGCTAAACGAACCATTCTGGACGCAACCGCGAGGTCAGAATAGTAAAATTCTAAACGATTTTTTAAAGATTGTCAAAACATGGGGGTTTGTCATCTTTAATCGTCGAAGGGAGGTTGCCGGATATTGTGGAACACTGCAAATTCACTGAAGAGGTTAGAATGGACAAGTTCTAACCAAATTAGACAACCAGACAAATCGCGAGATAGATCGTTGGAGACCAGATGAGATCAGGTTTGGTCAAGTGGCAGATCAGAGGAAATCAGGATTGGTCAAGGGCGATCAGGAGAATTGCACATGATTATCTCAAAATCAACAATGTCTAGGAAAGTTCTATCAAAAAGACACTGTTTAAGGAGACTGGTTCTTGAGTGGGACCGGTTGTGACCCCACCAGTCTTTCTTGGGAACTTTCTTGGTTGCTGAGTTGAGGCGATCAAGAGATTTGGTTCAATCGGAAGGAGACCATTTCATCGAGAGACAGATGATTGGCAACTAGTGCAAGCTCAGGGAAATGTTGTGGCAGTTGGAGCTACAGTCAAACATAATACGAGAAGTATTGGTAGTATGTGAATGTTAAAAAGCAACAGCTACAGTAGTGCACACATAAGGCGCAGGAGCACGTGACTACGATAGCACAGATGAGTACGCAAGAGTGTCGTATAAGGTGCATACATACAGTAGTACAAGAGAGTAAGTAGCAAAGTCGTACAGAGGTGCAGTGTGTCGGATTTTGGCCTGGCGGCAGCAACTAGTTCACAGAAGAAAGCTCCAAACAAAGAAATTGAAAGGAATAAGACGTTGCAACATGCACCCAGGGAGAGGCAAATCTTTTTCTTTGTCCTGAATTTGGTTCGTGGCAGTGAAGTCATGACAGGCACCCAGAGAGTTTGGGTGGAGTCACCTTAACAGGGAAACGGTGAGCATTCTATTGGAGGATGCAAGTACCTGGTAATAGAGGTACAAGCCATGTAGGATTATGTGTAGCGGTTGAAGATATTCCAAATAAGAGGTGCAGATTCACTCCGGATGCTCAGTGGAATGGAGATATATTTGTGCAACGGTGTTTTATCATCCATGTGGGTGATGGGAGTGAAAAATTTTGTTCACTCAGTTAAAGCCAATTGGAAGCCAATTGAAGACCTTTCAGAGTCAGTTGCAGAAGTTATCAGTTCATTTGGTGACTCTCGGGTTAGTTGCAGAACTTCCGGGTTCATTAGGTTTTCTCTAGGAGATAGAGAGAACCGGCACTGGCAGAGTATACTACAGAGATTTGGCATGCATGATAAGTCCAAATTGTAGTACTTTATTGGCATTGGCCTTAGTGAAGGCGTTGGAGATCCTTCATGGATCATTGTTGGAAGATCCGCATCTGGTAAAGCCTTGGTATCCACATTTGTCAATTTGAAGGAGAAGTTGTGGCAATCTACTTCAAATCTTGGTGGAGTTTTGGCGTTCTCTTCAAATGTCTACTGGAGGCATTGTTTGTTGGCGGTTTTTCATGGATTATTGGCAATTGTTCAAGGTCGTGGTTTATTGAGATTCATTATCACAGTTGGAATCTATGATCGTATCTGATTAGATCCAAGAGTGTCTCCGATTTGTGAGACTTGATTGTTTCTTCTTCTTGTGGATTTTCATTTTTGCAATCTATTCCATATTTGAAGGCGTCAGCTATTGGTAGTCTGGGTGACAATTCAGACTCCGGTTGTTTGCTTCTGTGGAAGCGGTATGACCGTTGGTGTTCGTTGAAGATTGAAAGAGATTGTTGCAGAGAAACATGAAGATGGTGATTTTGTGAATCTCATGTGTTGGGATCCATCCCTTAATTTGTCGTTGGATTTGGAGGGGATAGATCATTTGCAGACTTGGGGGACTGTTGGAGTTGTGCATTTATAGTACATGCGCCTTTGGGTGATTTTGGCAGCTGTAAAGATGGTGCATCATCTTGTGTCTACCGATTGGAACTGCAGTTGGAGGAATCTAGAATTTGCTCGACACTTCAGAACTTTTTTGGCTCTTGGTATTTTCTAAGTTCATTTGAAGTTTGTTCCGATACTTCCGAACTAGTTAAAGCCTAACTGCATCCACAGTCCAGTTTTGTTTGGTAGATAACTTGCCTCAGTTCTCGGAGAATTTGTTTGGCTCTCTTGATTAATTCGAGCTTAAAGAGAGCAATATTGTGTTCGATGGTTGATCAGACATGATGTTTTTGGTACTGCTTTTGAAGTTGCTTTGACGGGAAATTTGAAGCCTCTTGTTTAGTCTCCTTAGCACTGGTTCAAGCGGGTTGCTCACCATGCTTTGTTTGGAGTTGTGGCGCCTATGGAAATCAGAACTTGGCACTATGTGGAGCTTGAGTTGTAGCAAATCGAAGAGCTAGCTCAATTGGTTTTGCATATTCTTTACATTGGCTCAATGTGATTTTGAGCAATAGAATCTGCTATATTTTTTGGGAAAACGCTTGTGTTTTGTACAACAGATGGCATTTAGTTTTGACTGAATGGTAGGATACCTGGGTTATGATATCGGTTTTCTGATTCCGTGGTAGCAAGCGCACGCCTTGATGAAACAGAGTAGTTGCGGATCTCTCAGGCGAGCTCGAGCGCAGGAGGAGAGATAATGCCACAATGAGCACTCAAGGAGTATGGGTGTGGGTACTATGCTAGGTGTTGCATAGTTTGGTTACTTGTACAAATTTGTTGAAGTTGCTTTGGCAGAGAAAGCTACTGTCAACCGTCAAATCTTGTAGTACAAGTGAAAGATGTGCAGGTAATGCGTATCGCTAAACTGGAGATCAGGGATTGCAAAAGGCATGAGCAACAAGTGTGTGGAAACGCTGGAAAGTTGTTCAGGAGTGCAAAGGGTAAATGTTAATAAGTTCAGGATAGTTTAAAGGAAACTCCAAGCAAAGAAAACCAGGAATGTTGACCAGACAAATGAAGAGTTTTCTGTTGCTTCAATGATTAGTCGTGCGAGGTAATGCATGACAATCAAGAGCATCTCAATCAGGGGGTGCAGGACATCCAATCAGGGGGTGCAGGCTATTTTGGTTACACAAGTTCAAGCATAGCAGGTGAAGACATCCAAGACAATAAGCGTGGAAAAGATCTGTGGGAGATAGGAGTAGAGGCTCTCTCCAAATCAGAGAGTTGTATGAGTTGAGTTGAGAATGTAGGATTCCCTCCTCCTGTTGTATCTCTGGTGTGTTATCTCTAGCTTCAGGGGATGCAAACGTCTCAGTGAGGAGATGCAGATTATTTTGAAATTTGGGCATGACAAGATTAGCAGCAGCATGTACACTGGATCACCTCACATGGGTTAAGGGGGTGATTTGTTGGATATATCCATCACCCCATATGAGGGGTGATCAATGGAGAAACCACTTGGAGAGATATCTAAATGATTTGCTGTGCAGGCGAAAGAATTGCTCACGCAAAATGCCAACCTCCCTCTCAAGAGCATCACCAATGATGGTGTTCTCAGCACCAACTGCCTCAGGATTACTCACTGAGTTTTTCCACTCAGAACAATTAAGTTTGTCTAAAGCTGATTTGCACAGATCTTCTGCGTAACATAATCTCTTTTCAGAAACATTTGCTGTATTACCATCACGACGACTTCTGAATAAATCTCCCAGTTGCAGGTCAGTGGTAACTTCCAAGAGCAATCTGCATTTCAAACAAGCAATGGCAGTACAGCTATCTGCTAGTATTTGCTTGGCGCTTTGAAGTTCCTTTTCTGCCAAATCCCATAGACGTTGCTTGCGGTACAGTCTTCCTAAGAAGTTCAGACGCACACAGTAAGTTCGACAGTTTCAGCATTCTTTCCTGTGAATAGGAGGACAAACGATAAGTAGACAAGGACCAAGCACAAGAGAGAAGGAAAGGTTTTTTTTTCTTCTTTCTTGATAAGTAAATAAAGAAAAAGTTTACTTGTATACCCAAGATAGAAGAAAATGCAACTTTGAAAAGACGCAACCCTTGGAAACCAGAGATGTTTTTCCCCCACAATAGAAGAGTTTCAGCCTCAGACCCATTTCCAATTAATTCATGGATAATTCCAACCTGCTTTAACCACAGCACTTAAATAACAGCGGTAAAACCCACCAAAACCAGATTCAACTTCTGAGCAAAAATATTGTAGGGATAAACAAATCAAACCTGTAAAGTGCTTTCAAGATAACACTTTCCATGGAGTAAGAATACAGCCTTCCAAGTCACATAAAATAGTATCACGAGACCAAACCGTTGTAGCCACTGAACTATATATTTCAAAAGTACTAAGATTGTAACAACGCTTCTGAATGATTTCCCCATTTTCATCATAAATTTCACTCTGCTGCTCTACAGAGTATCTAAATTTTTCTTGCAAGAGTTTACTACGTAAACAATGGGCTTCTTTTGCATATGAAAGAGCCTACAGAGTTGAAAAAACTCTTCTTTTGCATTTTAATGGGAACATCTTAGTATTATGACAAATATGCAACCAATCAATTTATTTCTCACTAAACATATAAAAGAAAGGGTCTTACTAATGACACTCAGTGCTGAATGCCAAAACATTTATAATTTCAATATACTTTTTCACATATTCCAAAACCATTTCCACACAATTCGAACACTTTTTATACATTTTTTTCAATGCTACAGGGCTGTTTTAAGCATTTGCCCAAAATCACCTTGCTTGGTTCTAATTTCTGAATTCAATTTTTGAAAATTGAGATTTTTATTTTTCATATTTTTTTATTTTTAGTGAATATTTTTTAATTTTTAAATTTTTTTTTTTTACTTTTTTTAATGCACCTTACTTAGATATATCTAAAAAGTAAAATATTTGTAAAAAATTAATAAATACACAAAAATATGAAAAATGTACTAAACTTTTGTTCTTGTTTTGCTTTTTTTTATTTGTATGTTTGATATTTAGTGAATTTTTTAATGATTTTTTTCACAAAAAATTATACAATGTTAGGTGTATCTAATTTTTTTTTAAAAAAAATTGCTTAAAATGTTAAAAAGAATTAGTAAGAACAAAAAAAAATACGAAAAACAATAAAGAAGAATTTTCAGAAAAAAGTAAATTCTAAAAATTAAAATCAAACAGAGTGATTTACCTTGTTTAGTTCTAATTTTTTGAATTTAATTTTTAAAAAATTGAATTTTTATTTTTAGTGAATTTTTTTAATATTTTAAACAAATTTTTTACTCTTTATATGTACCTTAATTTTTTAAAAATTAAATTCAGAAAAATGGAACCATATGAAGCCAAATAAGATTATTTTTTTATAATGTTACATGTTTTATATTTAAATATTTTTAACCATAATATGTGTAACATCACTATAAAAATACGTAATATTGCAATAAAAATATATTTAATATGTTTTATAAAAAAAATGATTCATCCATTAATTTTTGGGTAATGTTAGGGATACCAAATTTTCTACCAAACAAATGACCAAATGTCTCACATGGGTGTAGGGTCCGCAATTTTGTGAGCCCCACACCCATATGAGACATTTGGTCATTTATTTGGTAGAAAATTTGAAACCTCTAGCATTTTCCTTAATTTTTTTTCCCTCCAAATCTCCTTAAATGATGCGCCAACTTTATGGTCCAATAGCAATTGATATATTTGAAGAGACATTATCTTTATACTTTTTGAGTCATAATTATAAATTAAAAAAAAAAACATAACTAAATACCATATGAAATATAACCAAATATCTCATGAGTCATAATTATAATACTATCATAATTTTTAAAAAAAAATTAATCATACCTAAAACACAAAAATAACATAACTAAGATGAGGTGATCTAAATTTTCATTAGAAAAATTTCAAGTTTTATTTACTTAATGAGGTGATCTAAATTTTTAAATAATAAACAAAACAATAAATCAATCAACATAAATTCTTAGAATACCTCCCATTCTATTCCAAATTTTTTAATCTAATTTGATTTTAAATTTGAATAAAAAAATTTGATTTGATATGAATTATTTAGAATGGCTCATATCAAACTCTTTCAATGCTTTCATCAATTTTTTTATAAAAATCTTTTTAAAAATTTTCCTCTTATCCAAAATTTTTCTTTTCATCAAATTTTATGAAAGAAATCATCTAATATTATTCATCTTTCAAAATTTTCATCAAATTTAAATTTTGAACATTTTTGCATCAAATTTAAATTTAATGAAAAAAAATATAAAGGATTAGAGATGCACTTACAAGATAAACATTTAAGAGTGTTTAAGTCTCATTCAAATCGCCGACATGAGTTTGAATTAGCCCACAAATTGGACATTACAATTCCATGCAAAACTGAAAAGAAACTCGTTTAAAATATAAATACTAACACCGTCACCACTTGCTCTACTACCCTAACCAACAACACTACCTCCACCAGTCTACTATTGCTATCACTACCACTAGTTCCACTATACTATTAACACCACCATCACTAGCTTGGTCATCCTAAAACCATAACCAATTTCACTATCCTACCCTACCACCACCAGTAGTTCCAACTACCTCTCCTATTCTACCTTTATTACCACCACAACCACCTATACCACTACCACTACTAGATCCACCACCCCCTAGCTTCCATCACTATACTACCAACACTATTATTGCCATCTCCACCACCACCACCAGTTCCAACCACCTCTCCCATTCTACTTTTACTACCACCTATACCACTACCACCACTAGATCTGCCACCCCCTAACTTCCATCACTATACTACCAACACTATTACTGCCATCTCTACCACCACCACCAGTTCCAACCATCTCTCTCATTCTACTTTTACTACCACCACAACCACCTATACCACTACCACCACTAGATCCACCACCCCCTAACTACCAACACTATCATTGCCATGTCCACCACCCTATAACCTTCACGACCTCCGCTACCCTATTACCAATGAATTGGATATTTATATTTTTAAAGTAATGAACAAATGACTAATTCAATAGTTTTATGTATATTATTGAGTGTATGCAAACTTAACCAATATTATCGATTAAAAAAAAAATTTCATGTAAACCCGAATATTTCCAAATTGATTACATCTTAAAATTCAATTTTTATTTATTTTCAATTCAAAAATCAAACCAAATTAGTTGTTTTAATATTATTGTAAAAAGTGTGAATTACATATATATTAAAATACAGCAATCACACTGATACGTGTATATTTTAATAGTCACATATCTTTTGTTTTAGATACATCTAATCCAAATAGACATAAATAGTGCATAATCTGTCTATCTAGATTAAATAAATTTTAAAAGCTCAGCATACCTTGGTTCAGAAGGGTATGACTGAGCTAACTGTTACCGCTCTGAGTATGGTGACCGAGCTAACTGCAGAGCTCTCTTAGATCGGGCTAACTGCAGAGTTCTATTAGACCAAGCTACCTTCTAGGCCCTTTTACTCGGCCTCTCTTATAATGACCCACAGATCGGCCCATTTACCCAGCTCGGCCCAATTTACTTATAAATTACCCTCTTAGTATACCAATTAGTATATTAACTTATAATATTATTATTTTAAAATTATTATCACATCTATTATATAAATTATAAAGACTTAAATTTTTTAAAATTATGCACACATCATTTATTAATACACTAATTAATATATCAATTAATACATATAATATTACTCAAATAAAATACAATCATTGTATCTACACCTTTTGTTCCATCAATTGCTTTCCTTCCTTGAGAAGCTTTACTTGCCAGCCACAAACTTCTAACCACTCTGATAAACCCAAGAGTACAAACAAACCAACCAACTCCCAAGAGTACAAACAACTGCCAAGAATACAAACAACTCTTCACCTTTTCACCTTCCACTCAGTATATATTTTTTAAAAATGCTCCGTGACTCGAAAAATTGAGGCTCGAGTGGCCGGAAAATTTTTCTCTCATCCCCGTCTCTTTCCTTTCCTCTCCTCTCTTCTCTATCTCTATTCTTGGAAACAAAAAAACATTCAGCACTCTCATCACTCTCACCTCTCATTCCTCTCTCTGATCGCTCCTTATCTTCCCTTGTTTTTCCTCCTCATTTTACAAAAAGCGAACAACGACAACCGGCTATGGACGACCGGCGACAACTGACGATGGATGAATGACGACTTGAAGATGTTCTGCTTCTTTCTATTTTTTGTATATATATATATATGTACATATTACATGTATGTATATATTTTTATTTCTTTGGTTTTATATGATCTTTCAAATTTCTTTGGTTTTATATAATTTTGGGTGATTTGTGAGAGTGGTTTATGAGATTTTGGGTGTTTGAAGTGTTGAAATTGAAATTACGAGCATGAAGAAAAGCAAGGTTTCCAGATTTGTTTCCTCATCTCCTCTCCTCTCCTCTCCTCTCTATCTCTATTCTTGGAAACAAAAAAGCATTCAAACACTCTCACTCAATATATTTGGATTTGATTTTGAACTGATTTTTGTTTGATTTTGTCTGATTTGGGTTTCAGTTTCAATTTTGATCTGTGGTTGTGGGTTTGGTTTTGAGTTTAGTTTTGATTTTTGATTTTTGGGTTTGGGTGATTCTTCTTCTTCTTTCTTCTTGTTCTTTCTAGACTGAGTTTTGAATTTTTTTCATTTATTTACCTACAATTTCTGTTTGATCTTGCATGGTGTAAAATTCCCGTACATCTGTGTGTGTTTGTGTGTTGTTTTTTGTTTGGTCTCATTCAACAATGTAGAAAGAAGTAGAAGAAAGAAGAAGAGAGAGGAAAAAAACAAAGGAAGGAAAAAGAGGACAGAGAAAGAAAAAGAAAAAAGAAAAAAAAAAGTGCCAAAACGACGTCGTTTTGGCACCTCGAGCCATTCGAGCCTCAGCTTATTCAAGCTACCTAGCAAGGTTGTATGTTTTTTTGCATATAACGGTTTAGGCCCCCAAAAAATAGAGGATTCAGCTACATGTATCCTTAGCCCCAAAATGTCAAAACTTCCTTCCATTATTAGTTCATCTACAGGGGAAATGTCTTCCTCCCAATCTTCAGCCAAGCAAAAGCAAACCTTGCGTCCAGCAACATGTCAAGGACCAGAGTTTGATGACAAGCCATTGCGGAATCATGTGAAAGTTCTCAATGTGGCTTCAGGTAGAGGTGGAAATAGAACCTGGTCCTGTAATTACTGCAGCAAAAAAGTAACTGGGTCATATACAAAGGTGAAAGCTTATCTGTTGAAGCTTTCAAATCATGGAGTTGAACCTTGCAAATCCATGAGAGATGATGTTGTTAAAGCTATAAGGAAGGAGCATGATGGTGCTGAAGTGAGAAAAGCTCAACAAGCATTAAATGCTAGAAAAAAAGCAAAATATGTCACTTTAC